TAACAATATTTCACCCATTTTTCTTAAATCGACTTTATTTTTAATTTTTTGTAAATTTGACCCAAATTCCGTTTTAAATTTAATTTTTCTTCCAAAATTTTTTATTGCTTGACAAAACGCGGTAGAAATATTAACAAGTTTAGGCCATTCATTACGCAATTCCGTATTGATTAAATCCTTTGTCAACATTTCAATTTTTATTTCTTCCAAATCTTTACTCCACTCTTTTTCATTCCTTTTTAACTCTGGTGATTGGGGCCACTTTTCTTCACTCTCATTCAAAAACTGCGGACCCTTCCACCATTCTTTATAATTTTTCAGTTCATTCGTAGTGCAACCACGTGACGCAATATCTGACGGATTTTTCTCTGTGGGAACGTATTTCCATTCAATTTCTTTATTTTCTCTCAAAATTTTAATTCTATTTTTTACAAATTTTGGTAATTTATCAATGTTTGACAATAAAATCCATGAAAGTACACATTTAGAATCCGTCCAAATATATATTTTTGTAAATTTAATATCAATTTCTTTTATTATAAAATCTGACATTCTTTTTCCAGCAACGCTTGCCATTAGTTCTAATCGGGGAATTGTTAATTTATTTTTTATCGGGGCTAATTTTCCTTTAGACATGATTATAGATGTTTGTACCCCATTTTTATCAAATTGTCTTAAATAAGCGACTGCTGCGTATGCTTTACCGGAAGCATCGACAAAAACATGTAACTCAGTTGGATTTTGTTTATTGACTGAAATTCGCCTTATTTGGAAATTGCCATAATCTACTTTAATTTTATTCCATTCCTCACATTCCGTCTTTTCAATTTCTTCATCCCAAGTTTTATCTGTTTTCCACAAGCTTTGGAAAAATAATTTTCGAGGCAAATTAGCTGGTACTAAAAATCCAAGTGGGTCAAAAGAGCTCGCTAAAGATTTTAAAACACTTCTTTTCGTCCATTTAGTTTCTTTAATTTCCTTCAACTCAATTAAAATAGTGTCTTTTTCTAAATTCCAATTGAGACCCAAAAGTTTTATAGGGTTCTTTTGCTCTTTATCTCCAAATGTTTTATTTATTTCATTCAAATTGCTACAAATTTCGTGTAAATTCATTTTGGCCTCTTCAAAAATTTTGGATACCTTTTGACATTTTTGTTTTGCCTCTATTTCATTTTCGGCACAAAGAAATACATTATCCGCATAAATACCTCTTTTTAATTCACTGCTCAGTGGCGAATTTAAATTTTCAATGTGGTAATTAATTACCGCTGCTAACAAATATGGAGCGGCGATTACCCCGAAGGGCATTCTGGCAAATCTCCATTTAACAATATTTTCATATGTTGGGGGTGACTCTATATCATTAATCCATAAAAATCGTGTTAAATCACGTTGTGCTTCATTGATTGCTATTTGATGGAACGCCCCCTTTACGTCAGCCGCAATCAAATTTTTAAAGGTTCTAAGTCTTAAAAGCATTCCACAAATATCAGGCAATAAGACTGGACCCCTCAAAATTATTTTATTTAAACTCAATCCATCCTTTGTCCTACAAGAAGCGTCAAAAACAATTCTTACTTTCTTCTTTTCTTCGTTTATGACGCAATGGTGGGGAATATAATGGGCTATTTCACTTTCTTTCTCACATTTTTCGATAATACAATTTTTAGCTTGTTCAACAAATAATTGGTTATATTTTTCTAAAATTTCGGGATTTTTATTTAATTTATTCCAAACCCCTTGTAATCGCTTCATTGAAATCCAAAAATTGTCCGCTAAAGTTTGATTTTCTTTAATGGGCCAGGAAACAATATATCTACCATTGTTTTCTCTTTTTATATTTGATTTAAAATGTTCAATGGCAAATTTATCGTCTTCAGTTTCCTTTGTTATATCAATGCCTAGACCTTCTAATTCCCACCACAGGTCTGTATTTACCATTTGACAAATTTTTGTATTTTCAGGGCCTTTTGAAATTTTTCCCTTTCCATAAATTATATTTCCAATTTTTGTATCAACAGTTAAAAATCCAGATTTTAATTGTTTATTTCCAAAAATTAATCCGTAATAATCGGCACCTATTAATATTTCGGGTTTTACCGTTTCGAATTGCCCAATGTTTATTTTTGACATTTGGTCAATTCTATTATTTATTTTAATTTTTTCTAAAAATTCGACCATGTCATTAGTGCCTCTAACAATCATATTTATTTTCTCATTATTTAAACAAATTAAATCAATAATGTAAATAGGCGCATTAACAGTTATTGTTTTATTAAAAAGTCCAATTCCTCTAAATTCTTTATGACCAATGGGTTTCAATCCAAGTTTTACCGCAGTTGAATTATGTAAGAGGGTGATCTCGCATCCAGAATCGAAAAATGCTTCCACATTTAAAAACTTCTTCTTTGTGGGATTTTTTATTTTTACTTCCGCTACCTGTAAAAGTGTCTTTTCATTATTGTTTTCTTTAATTTCTTTTTTATTTGCAAAATTTTGAATTAATATATCATTTTCATTTTCAGAATTTTCAAAATTTTCCCTGACGGCCAGACACATTTGTTTTCTCTTATTAAATTCATTCCCATGTTTTTCAAAATTTTTCATGGGGTATTGTTTTTGTTGCCCTTTTGTATATAAATTATGACAAAAAACAGAAATGTGGCCATTTTTCTTGCAATTAAAACAAAATGTATTGGCCTTACAGTCTATAGAGCGATGATTATTTCTTAAACATTTAAAACAAATTTTTAGCTCTTTTATTCTTTTAATTCTCTCCTCTTTAGTTTTATATTTCTCACATTTATCTTCCCAATGAGAGAGAGAACAGAATTTACATGCGTGCTTTTGCTCTCTTTGGAACGCGTACATAGCTGTTCCCTTAAATTTTTTATAATTCTCTCTATTATATTTTTCTGGCTCTCTATTTTTATATTTTTCAGGCTCTCTATTTTCTTTTTTCTGATAGGGCCTTTCATTTAATTCTGAACCGAAATCTTTATGGAGCATGTGCACGTCTTCTTCTAATTTTAAATATTCATCTAAAAATTTTAATAATTTTTCTAAAGACCATAGTGGGTCTATTCTTTTTCTCTTAAAAATTTCGGTCAGTATCTTTTTGGGCATTTTTGATTCCACTTCTAAAATGAGCTGTTGATGCTCTGTATTTTCGCCCATTAATTTTAACTGATTTATAATTGCCTCAATTTTTCTTAAAGTTTTTCTAATTTCGGGCACAAATTGGTTCGCCCTGGGCAATTTTCTTAATTCAGAATGCAGGCTGCTTCTGATCGTTATTTTATCCCCAAATCTATTTTTTAGGAGATCTAAAACGAGCTTGTAATTACCCGCTTCCAACGGATATGGCTCGACAATTTCTAGGGCTTCATTTCTCAAGGCACTTTTTAAATACTGCATTTTCCTTTTATCAGGAATTGGCTGCTCATCTACTGCCGCTTTAAATTCTTCGAAGAAACTTTGCCAATTTTTAGTATCCCCCGAAAATTCTGGCAGTTTTATTTCTGGCAATTTGACATTCATTTCATTTGCCTGACTTTGTGCCTGCCCTGTATTATTATTTAAAATTTCTTCTAAAATATACTCATTTTCATTTAGGGCTTCAATAATTTCCCGAGCTTCTTCCATAATAGTTAGATAACCCTCGGGCCCATTTGCGAAATTTTTATATTCATTCTTTTCCTCTATTTTTTCTTCTCTGTCTAAAGTAGGGAAAAGATTTACATAATTGACTGTCTGGCCGTCTAAATCATTTAATAAATTACTAATTTTCTTTTTAGTTAAAGTTATATATTTTATCATTCTTTTGGCCGTTAAAATTTTTTCTTCCATACCTAAATCAGCAGCAATTCTAAAATCGGCGTCTGTAGCCGCTGTATTGTATCTGATGAGGCGCTCTTTCAGCCCATTGATTGCCTCTTGTATTACTCCTGACATATCCCCTTTGAAAAATTTGCCTACTGTAAAATGTCCTTGGACCTCGGTAAATTTGACCTCTAAAAGCTTGTTGTTGACCACGGAAGAATTGTTGGCCTCTCACAAATCGGTAGTTTCTGCGGTGTTGTCTAAAATTCCTGTGTTGCCCACGAAAGTTTCTTTGATTTCTTGGTTGTCGGTAGTTTTGTTGCCTCGGATTTTGTTGCCAACGCCTCCAATAACGTCGGGGCTGTTGAAAATTTTGTCTATTATTTAATTGCACACTGCCTCCTTGCTGTTGAGCGTTTGGAGCAGGTTGAGGCTGTATTTGAATAATTAAAGGTTGTGAACTAGCAGCTTGTTGTATTTGAGCTGGCTGTAATTCGCTTGGTTTTTGCCGAACAACCTTTAAACTTCTATTTAATAAATTTTGAGCTACCCGATTTCTATTTAATAAAACTTTCCTTTGAATTGATGTCTTTGGTAGTTGATTTGGGCGCGAAGAGACACGTTGAGCGATTCCAACACGTTCAAAAACTGAACGTTCTGATGAGCTCAGTTTGAACAATTAGACCGAGTGGCACCAAATGTTAGAAACAATCTCTTTTAATTATTTCTAGCCCTTCTAAATTTATCCAAAAAAGGAATATTTCTTTATTAATATTTATTCAATTTAATAATAATTTTACAATTAGGCTTAAGGGGATTATTGGGGAATTTAAAAGTGAATTGAAGCTGAAGCTAAAATAACAGAAATAGCTGAGTTTAAATAAACAGGGAAATGACAAAAATGATTAAGAATGTTAAATAAAAATAAAGTTTAAGAAATTGCATGAATAAGAAAATATATTTGAAAAGGACATTTTTGGATTTAAAAATAAAGAATTAATCATATAAAATAAATCACACATATTTTGATTGTAATTTAACATTATTTCCAACACCTAGCATTATCAATTAATTCAACCAAAAATTAAAAAATTAATTAAGGTGACATTTTGTCCCAATTTGGAATAAAATAGCAGAAAAATAAAATTTTAAAAATATTAAAATCCAAATTTATTCACCTGCTTAAAGGAATCATTGACTTTGAAGCAACAAATCTCCAAGCATTTTTGTGTTTATTATTGCTTCCATCACTTCGTTTTTCGCGTAGTTTGTGTCTAAATAATTTTTTGAAATTTCTAAAAAAAATTTTTTTCAATTTCTTCCACCTTTCCTCCTCTTCATTTTCAATACTTTCTGCATTACCTGAAGAACCTCCACGTCGCAAAAAGCGCCGAGCAATGCGTGTGGAGAGTCCCGTTGTTAAGTAAAAGAAGAAATATTTAAATAATTAATTGAATAAATGCTCTTTAATCTTTTGGAAAAAATAATTTTTTTAATTAAAAATTTTGCAAAAAAATTTTTTTTAATTTTATCTAAAATTAAAAAAAATTTTGTCTAAAATTTAAAAATTTTCGAAAAAAAATAAAATTTTTTAATAAGCAACAAAAGTATTCAACTAGAAGAAAGAGGACAACGTTAAGAATGCCTGCCTGCCTATAACTTAGCCTTTAACAAAGCTATCGCCAAGAATTTTTTTTATAAAAATAGTTAATAGTATCAACTATCTTCTCTACAAATTTCAGATTTTTTGGTTAAATATTAAACAAGTTATGGCCGAAAAACTACAAAAAAGTCGAAATTTTTGAAAATTTTAAGGCATTTTTAACCCTAACTTTTTTTAAAATTAACCAAAAATTCTGAAATTTTGAGAGACTTTAGAAAACCTTATTTTTAACTTAAAAACAAAATTTTATAGCCCTAGCTTCTTTTTTGACAATTTTATAAGCAAACGCCAAAATGCAGTTAACGTCCAGACGTCCCCTCTCTATAATATTATATTAGTGATGTTCGGGTATCCCGACTCCCGACACCCGACTCGGGAAATTTCCCGAGTTTTTGGCCTCCCGATCCCGACCCCGACTCCCGATGTCAATTCCCGACTAAGTCGGGAAATTTTTACACCCCTAAGAATGGCTTTTTCTGATAAAATTTTAATTTTGAAAGGAAAAAATAAAGAAAAAAAAATAAAAAAAAGAAAGGAAAAATAAAATATTAAATTTTTTCCCAGTTAGCTATTGTTGATAGGTGGTTTAAGTTGAGTGACTTCAGCTAATTTGATGGGGCTGGGTTCGAATCCAGTGTTGTGAAATGTATGTAAATAATTTTTTCTTTCAAAAATAAATGGTTTTTAACATTCATTTTGATTTTAAAATTTTAAAATTATTTTTTTCAATATTAAAACGTCAAGAAACTATAGAAAAATTAATTTAGTTTAATTAGTTAATTTAAATTAATTAATTTAAAATTTGAAGGTTATTTTTTGTAATATCAGTAAACGTGAAAAAACTATAAAAAAATTAATTTAGTCATGAATTTTCAAAAATTTTCGCCTGCGACGCAGAAAATAAAGAATATCTGGATTCTTGGCCTCAAACTTAAAAAAAGTTCGCTTGCGACGCCGAGGGAGGAAAAATTTGATTTCTTGATATTTCAAATTTAAAAAATTTTCGCTCATTGGCTTTCCAATTCTCAAAATTTTCGCCTCCGGCGGTAAATAAAAGAAGTCTGGTTCTTAGAAAGTTCGATGGAATAGGTGAAAAGTTCCCTGGAATAGTTTGGTTTTCGGATAAGCGGTGAAAAGTTTGATGGAATAGGTCAAGCCCCCCCCCCTCCCCAGCCACCACGAACTTGGCGAAAGGCAGAGCGGAAGGAATATGGAGATCGGAAAAGTGAATTTTTTTGTCTACGACCTCCACGTTCTCAAATTTTTGCCTGCGGCGCTGAAAATGGAAGATATCTGGCTTCTTCACTTTACAAAATTCACAAAATTTTTGCCTGCAAGACAAAAAAAACGGTATTTTTGGCGCCGAAGGCGCCAAAAATTTTTTTTATGTGAATTCCCGACTCCCGATCCCGACTCCCGAGGTCATTTCCCGACCCGACTCCCGTTTCCCGATTCCCGGGTTTTTTCTTCTCCCGAACATCACTATATTATATGTACAGCAATTAAATTAATGAAAAATAGCGAGACTAAAATCCAAAATAAATAAAAAAATTAATAAAAGGATTTGTGTTTGCATAGGTTTTAGATAATATATGTATTTTATTTTTAGAAAATTAAAAATATTTTTTTTTGCAAAAAAATTAAAAAAATTTTTTTTTAATTTTTTTTATATTTTCCCCAACGTCAACAAAAATTAATAAATTATTTAAAAAAATATTAAAATTATTAAAATTTTTTTTCTATTTAACTAAAAAAAATAAATATAAATTATTTTAGCTTTTTTTAAAAATAAAATTATTTAAATTTATGGAATTGACGTAAATAAATAAATATAAAAATTAATTTTTAAGTACATTTTTGCCCTAAAAACAATTTTAAAAAATAATTATAATAAATATTCCTATAATTATTCCAAAAAAGAAAAAATTGTAAATAAAGGATTATTTATATTTTTTTAAGAAAATAGTTTAAGGCACTAAAAATTCAAGAAAAAAATTGTTTACTAAAAGCCCTCCTTTCTTCAATAGTTTGGCTATTTGGAGGTAGAAAAGGTTAAGGAAGGAGCTAATAGAAAATATAGGCTAGGAGAAAAATAAATCCTTGATACCAGAGATGAATCGGAACTGACGAAGGTCCTCTGCTCGATACCACTACACTGTAAAACGAAAATTGAGGAAAACCTGAAGAGAAAAGCCTGAAGTTGCTGAAACTGATGGGAAGGGGCGAGCTTCCGCATTTCTCATATATTCACATCAAAGTTATAAAAGCCCTATTTAAAGAATTCTCTAAATAATTAAAAATGTATTTTTTGTGAAGACAAAAAGAAGTTGGTTAGAACAGCTACAAGCGGTCTCTGAAATCGGAAGTAGAATGGAACTAGAAAAAAACTTCTGCCTGGAACTAGAAAACCCTTGTAGGAAAGTATATTCTCGACTAATTTAAATTATTTCCGTTTTTTCTCTTTTTCCAATTAAACTAATAAAAATAAAAAAAGCTTCTCCTAATCATTTTGATTGATGTCAAGAAAAAAAATAAATGAAAAAATTCTATTTATTTAATTTATTTTAAAAGGAAAAGGGAAGGAATTTGCATTTAAAGAAAAAGTATAGGGGGAGATTAGTGGAATTGAAATGAATGAATGAAAAATGGAGGGAAATAAAAATATTTTTTTAAATAAAATTTATTTTTTTTTAAATTATTCGGAAAAAGAGGACCAGGAAGAAGTCGAAGAAATTAAAAATTAAAATAAAGTACAGGGTACGGCAGATTTTTGGAATTTTTTGTTTTTCTCATAGCTTAACACAAAGTGAATGAATATTGAAAATTAATTCTTTTTTCCCTTAATACTTTAAGAAAATTGCTGGTACCAAAGAAATTTGGTTCAAGATAGTAAAGATGGAATTGAATGAATGATGAAAGAGAGAGGACCGGGAAATGATATTTGAACTAATAAGCAGCAAAAATTTTTTATGACAAAGTTTCTAATTGTATTTGGGGGGTCGTGGGTCTTAATTTTTAATTTTAAAATTTTGTTAAAAAGGGTAGTAGAAAAATAAAAAAAGCTTCTCCTAACCCATTCTGAATACATATGTTTAGGTGATTTTTGAACTCACCTTATTATATTAAAAATTATTTTATCAGTGTTGATGAGCGATAGTCTAACTGGAAGTAATCACTTAACGTATTCCTAAGATAAAGCCCCACCCTAAAATAGAGCCCCACTTTGGAGGATAGTTAAAAAATAAAGCCACATGGGGCTTTATTTTAGGAAATACGGCATGTAGGAATATCTCCCCTCCTTCAACCAGAAGCCAACCAAATTTTAAAATTCGTTAACTAAATCGAGTTAGTGGGTTGTATAATACATATAACGGGTTTCTATTGAAATAAAATTAAAAAATAATTTTTAGAAAATTTCTCTTTTATTGTTTTTGTCTCGTAGTATCCCCCAAAGGATCATCATCCCTCTCCACAACACCCACACAATTAAATATTCAATAAAAGATATTTTACTTCTTTTTTAAGGCTTTTGTTCTTGTGAAGAAAAAAATATTTTTTTCCAGGGAAATAATTTTTGGCATTTTCATTAAATTATTTATGCATAAGAGAAATATTGAAAATAATAAATTAGACAAGGGAAGGAACTTTGGCAATTAAATATTTAAATTAATATTTTGTAGAGAAAAAAGGAAGGAAATAATTATGTGTGGGGGTATGTGACACTGCGCGCATCAAAAAATAATTAAAGCTTTAAAGGAAATTAAATAAAAGGACATTTAATAATTTTAAAAATAAATTAATAATTAGGGCAAATTGGTAGGTTTAATGAGACTGTTATTTAAAAATTTCTTTTAAATTAAAAATGAACTTTTAAAAAATATAAAAAAATGTTTTACGGAAGCAAAAAGAAAATTATTTTTGGGTAACCAAACTAGAAAGAAAACCTGTAGGTCAACCAAAAAACGAGGGCACCGGTCAGGGATGTCACGAGTAGAAAAAATTCGAGTCAGGGTTTGAAGAATGTCTCGGAAAGGGTTTTGGAGGTCGGGTCAAAAAAAGTCCTGATTTTGGGTACCGGATAATCCGTGGCATTCCTGATACAGGTTAATAATCGGTCACCAACTCTTTTAGATTGATAAATATTATTTAAAAAAGATTTCCTTAGCCAAATAAAACACACAAAAAAATAAAACAATAAATTTAAAAGTTAAAAATACAAAAAAATAAAAGGAAATAAAAATTTAAAAGAAAAAAAGAATTTTTGGGGGAGACACAAAGTCGTCTTCTTCCAAAAAAATTTTTTTGGTGGCACAAAGCATTCTTTTTATTTATTTTTTGTTCCTTTTCGAATTTTATTTTTCTTAGGCTGACGCAAAAAGTATAAAAGAATTTCCTTTCTTTCCGTCAATTTTGCCACGGTTGGTCTTCATTTTCAAAAAAAAAATAACGGGGTAAAGAAGGAAAGCTTTGCTTTTGTTATTTTGTATTTGACTGGCATTTAAGTATATACTGACTGAAAATAAAAGAAAGAAAAATATATATTTTAGAGAAAGGAATAAATGAATGAGGGAAAATAGCTGTCAATGCCAGTGCCAAATGGAGAAATGGAGGGAAAATAAAAAAAGGACGTGTAGAGGGGACGTGGAGGTATGCTTATAATAGGGAAAAGAAATTGTGTTTTTAAATTAAAAAGAGGAAAAAAATAAAAGTTTCGAAATTTTTAAATATTAATTCTTTAAAGATAACAAAAACAAAAGTCGTTCAGGCGATTTTTGGATTTGTAATTTGGTCTCATTGGACTCAGTTCAAAGAAATCTCTTAAATAACCTAGCATTATTTTTCAAAAAGTGCAGCTTGTTCCCTATGTTTTACAATTTTAGTGGACTGAAAAACATGATGTGAAAGGATTTTGTGACAATCTTGTCACTAAATCCTTCTTGTTCTTATTTCACTATCTATTTTGAGGAATTTTAAATAAATTCATGCGCCACTATATATTTAACATTTTAATAATAAATTTTCGAAATTAGAAAGTGACTGAAAATCAAAGATTTGATTTTAGCATTTTATTTCCGATTTTTAATATCAATTCATATTTAAAATTAAAAAATAAATTATTTATTCACAAATATTTATTAATTTCCATTCTTTTTTCTCACTTTTCTGTCTTTTATCCTTCTTTCTGCTTCTTTGAGTTGCTCACTTTTTTGTACAAAAAAGTATAATTCCTTCAAAATTTTAATTAATTTTCTTTAAAATTTATTTTAAAAACCTCCAAAATTGTTGAAAATTGTTTAGAATCAATTCCCAATTTAATTAAAGGTTCTGGATTGTTTTTTAAATTAATTACATCTTTGGGGGAATTGTAAAGATTTAAGAGGTTTTCAAATATTTCAATTTGATTTTCTGTTTTATTGAAAATAACTGATTCACGTTGTCGCATACCCAAAAGTTTTGGTTTTCTTTAAAAAAATTTTCAAAAAAATTTTTTTAATTGTAAAAATTCTCAAAGGTGAACAGATATTGAAAAAATGCAAAAAGTCCGCAAAAAATTGTCCGCAAATTTTTCTAATAGAAAAAAGTCCGCAAAAGTTGTCCACAAATTTTTCAAATACAAAAAATCCGCAAAAATTTTCCGCAAATTTTTTTCCGAGAGTAAAAAGTCCGCTAAGATTATCCGCAAATTTTTCAAATACAAAAATGTCCGCAAAAGTTGTCCGCAAATTTTTGTATAAAATTTCCTTCTCTCAAATATTAACCAACCACCTTATCGAGCTTTTCCTTCTCTTCTTTCCTCTATCCGGAATATTTTTGTTTTTATCATTTTCTTCTTTTACAACTCGTTGATTAGCATTACAACACATTGAGCATCTACCAAGTTTTCCACGAACAAACCCAAAAAGTTTTGAAACAAACTGAAAAAAATCTTTCCAAAATGTTCAGCTTTTCATATTAATTTTAAAAGTCCGCAAAAGATGTCCGCAAATTTTTTACTCTAGAAAAAAAAGTCCGCAACAGACTTCTTTGAGGAAAAAAGGAAGATCAAGCTTGGCTAGTATGTAAACATCAATTTAAGTTAGAGCGAGCACCTGGACATGGTGAGCTACCCAGTGTTCTGCTGCACAGTTTTTCTCGTAAAATTTTGGTCAACACTTTTGACAGATCAAACAAAAGGTCTTCCTTCACTCCTTAATTGCTTAAATCGTTGTTTTACAAACAAAATTGTACTAAAATCTACAAAATTTTAAGCATCGTTTTTAGCAATTTTAATTTCTAAATTTTTGGTTTAATCTAATTTTATGTAATATATAAAATTAATTTTGAAAAATTAGGAAACTATTTGCCGGAAGCTATTTTCGCTAATTTTTATTTTGGGAGAGTTTTCCTCTATTTTCTTTCCACCTTTAATTGTGAGGTTAATTTAAATTGGCGTTAAAAATTGCAAAAAAAATAAAAATGAAACTTTCTGTAATTTTATAAAAAAAATTTTGTAAGAAGGGAAGAGAGGGCTAATGAAAAAGTAATGTTGCAGGGCTACACCCAAAGATTTGCCACGCCAAAACGTCATTAACGGCCAAAAAACATGCTAGAACACTGAGCTTAACCCTTGAAAATTTTTCTTACAAAATGATAAAACAGTTTATAAGGTAGCGATTAAAAGGACATTAAATGTCATCACGTTGCAAATTATTTTTTCACAGAATTTATAGAAATTAAGATCTTGGGAACTTCCAAATTTCAATTTCCCACAGAAATTATGGAGTAAAAGTAAAACAGGAACTAACCGATTCCTCGATCTTCATAGGGTCTTTCGCTCTATAAACCTGCCCGGGCGCTGCTTTCGCCCTCTCTTTTAATAAATCTTAAACCATCATTTACTAAGCGTTTTAAACGCTAGCCAGTTGGATCCTCCTTCTTTCTTACAACAGTGATTTAATATACATAATGTAGGGTAATTATTTAAAATTCAAGTCGATTTAAGATTGACCTTAGATACTTAAATACTATCCAAGCTTAATCTTCCTTTCCTCCTTACAATAAAGAATTTTTTTCTTTAAAAGAAAACTTGCCTGCATTGAATTTTTGTTTAAATTCAAATCTTCCTATTTTTCTTTAATATTTTTATCCAATTTTTGAATAAAAGAATCTTTTCTAAAAGTAACAGATTTTCTTGAAAATTGTCTTTCTACAATTGCTTTTCTTTTTATTTTAATTGAAGGAGAAGACGAGAAATTATGATTATTTGAGGTAAATAAAGTTGAGGCTGATGAAAATGAAGAAGTGTCATCTTCTAAAGGTTTTTGAATAAAAGACCTTAGATACTTAAATACTTAAATACTATCCAATTTTTGTTGGCGATTTTTTACCTAAAAAAGGAAAGGAATTCGCTTAATTTGTTATAATATTTTTTGGTTTTTGATAATTAAAAAAAGCACAGTTGGAATGGCTCCCGGAGATTTGGGGAGTGGACACTTGGGGAGTGGACATTAGGGGAGTAGATAAATGGGGAGTGAGCGGACAATTGGGGAGTGGACATTTGAGAGTAGCATAACGATAAAAATACAATGAATATTAAATATTTTTCTTGCTTTTGTATTTAAAAAACGGTTATGTATAAGTTCACAGGAGATAAAAGTTTGGGACGTGGAATATGTCATTCGATTCGTTTCGGCGAGCTGAGTCGAACTCCAATTTTCGAAAAAAACGCAAACTCCAATTTCGGAAAAAAATTCAACTACCTATTTCAGGAAATATTCTGAACCGAGTTATAGGTTGAAAAATTGAAAAACCATAGGGAGGAGGGGGTAAGCTCGATTTTGGGTAAAAAATTCGAATATGCAAGTAATAGCTCATTCGAAAGAGCTTTCGATCTGAGTCGAATGACACTAAAATTAGATTGATTAAACAAGTTTGAGTCGAGATATAGGGCTCGAAATGGTCAAATAGCAATGGTGGGATTTTACATAGAGTCAAAAATTTGAAAAAACATATAATAGCCATTCGAGAGATTCCTAATTTATTTTTTTAAATACAAAAGCAATAAAAACTATTTAATATTCTATTGTATTTTTATCGTTAGGCTACTCCCCAAATGTCCACTCCCCAATTGTCCGCTCACTCCCTATTTATCCACTCCCCAAATGCCCACTCCCCAAGTGTCCACTCCCCAAATTTCCGGACACGGTTGGAATTTTTGTTTACGTTGGGTGGGGGTGTTTAGGCGCAGAAATGTTTGGGCGTAATTATTAAATTAAATTCATTAAATTTTGTAGAGAATCTTAAATGTTTTTTACCACCTTTCTACTAATCGAAAAAATTTTTTCGTTCTGTGTTTGGAAACTAATAAATGTCGAAAATATCTGGAATTTTCAAAGAAGGTCGACTATAGAAAGTTAAAAATTTTGGCAATTATTAAAGCATACTTTACGGTATCCGCAAATCTTACTCTTAATTACAATAAAGAGAGCTCTTATTGTTAACTTAATCCTACAAGTCTTAAATTTATGTATATTTCTAACGCTTAAAAGTCTAACATAAAAATATCGCTTACATTATTTGTTCCCTGTTCTTCTACAGATTCATTTACAAATTTTGATTCTTCTCCAAATTTTTTTATTTCATCCTCGCAAGTAATAAATAATTGTTTGTGCTGATTTATATCTTGTTGTTTTATTGTTTTTTCAAGGTCTTCTTCCTCCTTTTTATTGTTTTCATTCTCTTCATTCTCTTCATTTTCCATTTAGTTAATTTTGAGAGAATAATTAAATCTGTGAGGTAAAAGTAAAGTAAATTTGGCTTAAAACGGATTTGTTCTTGTATAATTCGGAGGCCAATGTTTTTGTTTCGTGGTTGATATAGTTAAAGAATTTAGAAAGGATTGGATGGAGGAAGGAATGAATTTTGGAAAATTTCGATTAAAATGTCTGAAGCTACTATAAAAGCCATTGATTCCCAAAATCGTCTCAACTTCTCATTGTCTTCGTTCAAAACAACAAAACTTAATGCTTTTCCGCTGCCTTCTTCCAATGAAGCTTGACACGGCCCTAAGACCAACAAGTCGACAAAGCTGTGCTTTCTACTATTGCTCTCCATCGCAACATTTCAATTATCATTTATGAATTATTGAAATTTTTTGGTATTAGTAAATAGTTATAGGGATTCGTTTACTTGTAAAGAATGGCCAAAAAATTTTAAAAAGTTTAAGGTGGAAGACCCACTTTTAGAGTTAAAAAATTTGACAATGAAGATAGTTTGAGAGTGATAGTTATAAGGGTAGAAAATTGATAAAAAAAAATGCTTGATTTCCTTGCCTTAAAATCCCTTAAAATCTCGTAAAGGATAGGTTTCCATCCTCGTTGTCTTTTGACCTTTTAGATATTTTTGCAATCTAAAATGGAGATAGCCTTTTTTCTTAAAGGATTAATAACTTATAACAGGCAAGAACAAGTCATAGGCGAACGGTCAAAAATAGTTTAACTTTTATGAAATTTAAATAGGGTAGATAAATATGGAAAATTATTTTTGAAGAAAATATATATGTAATTATAAAATCTTTCATCAGAAAGAAAAAAGAAATTTTAAAAAATTTGTGAGAATGGAAAAATAAATTTTTTAAATGAAGCAATTTAATTAAATATAAAACATTTTTATATGGAGTACTTCCTTTTTTCTGTTTTTCCTTAAGAAAAGCAATGAAAAAGAAAAATTTTTAAAATAATTCGGAAAAACGAGAAGCTAATTTTCTCGATTTAAACAATTTTTATAAAAAATAACAAGTTTATTTTGGTTGTTTTGTGAGGTTATTTTAGAGAGGAAATTTAATTTTCTTTGTAATTTTTTTAAATAATTTTAATTCTCGTTTAGCTTATTAAATAAAATTAAGAGTAGCATTGCTGGGGTTTTTTCAAAATCCCTAAATCCTTCCAGCTCTCTGTTCATCCTAAAATCTCTCTCCGATGATTTTCCTTTAAAAAATAGCTTAGTTTTACTGCTTATTGTTTATAAAGACAAAGTGTTCCCACTTAATAATAAATAAAATAGCCCACTTTGGGGTTGGCACATCGTTTATTCTCCAAATTTGGTCCTTTCTACAATGGAGTAAAGCAGCTGGGCTATAGCTATTTCTCCCCTTCAACTAGTGCAAAAGGTTAATCGGCGGCTGGGTGCGAACCACATCTTCAGTAAACCGGACTGATCCATTACACCATGCCGCCTACTGCACAGCCTGGGGAATTAAATAGCTATATGCTTTACAATAGTAAACCTCTCATTCAACGAAATATGCCTGTTCCCTAAATGCCTTTCTTTATATCCGATGTCAATTAATTTTTCAATGAAAATATGTCCTTTAAAAAGAGCATGGGGGAACTCTTGGAATTTATTTTTTAATTTTTTACACAGTCGATATTTCAAAAATCTTACTAAAATACTTTCTTAAAATCTTACTTTATTTACTTGTGTGGGAGATTTTTTAAAGAGAATTTGACGAATTTATTTTTGATGATTAATATATAAAAATAAATAAAATAATTATTTAAAATTTTTGAACGATGGTCTTTTATTGTGACGAAAATTGTTTGAGAAAAAGAAAAAAATTAAATATTTTTATTTAATTTATGTTAATGACGTTAAATAGGTAGGTAAGTAAATATTTTTTGTTAAGAGAGCAAAGGTTTTTAAAAATTTTTTTGAATAAAAGATCAACAGGAAGGGAGTTTTGAATTGATTGAGAAAGTGTTTTGTGACGATTGCAGATTTTGTTTGATTAAAAAATGGGACTGTAAACGTGGACTATGAATGAAGAGGGAAATTTTTGTGTTGAGGATTAAGTCTGAGAGATGATCTGAGGCTAATCTAAATCTGAAAAAAGAATTCATGTTAAAAAGGAAAATCCTTAAAAAGTACCTTTCATTGCAAGTGCAGGATTTAAGGAAAAAGAAACAGACCTAGAAGATAAAAAAATTTTGTGGATGAAGGTAGTGACACTTATCGAGATAACACATCTTTGTAGGCTTAAGTTTTTTCTCACATAAAGGGAAAAACATTTTTTTCTTCAGTCCCTTCGATTTTGTTATATCGAGATTTGATTATATTTAAAAAGTAAAATTATTATGGATATTAAACATAAAAACATTCTTAAGGAATACAGATAAATCATTGTTATTAGGTAATTATTGTTACCGCATCGGAACCGAACTTAAGAACAGAGGATTTGTCGGTTTAGTTCTAGATGAACAGACTTCCTTTCGTTCCAATAACCGACATCCCTATAGTTAATAAAATGTGGTTTGAACCTAATTAGATTAAAAATTACTATAATATTACTTTTTAATTTTAAAAAATAAAAAAAACTTTTTTAGATCAATTTGTCTACATTTTAATTAAAAATGACAAATTAGTTTAAAATATCCTCAAAAAAATAATTTTAAAAAAATCTTAAAAATATTTTTCTCTTTCTCTTAATTTTTTTTCAAATTTTTACACTTTCCTCAGTTTAAATGCTCAAAAACATTTTCCTTTTTTCCTCCAAAAATAAGGTAAAAATACGGGCTTTTTTTAATCATTCCAAAAGTGGGTGAAGAATAGACAAGGAGGGAAAGGGGGGCCCTTATTTTTTAGTAAAATTATAGTTGCAAGAAGGTGAAAAAAGGTGAAAAATAAAAAATAAATATTGTTTGTAACCGGGTTTTCAATACAAAATTATTTTTGAAAAAAAGAGGAAAGGGTCGACAACGTTACTGGAACAAAACCTGCCATCTTCCCCCCCCCCCCTTTTTTTTATTTTTGCTCTTTTTTCTTCTCTCAAAATCAAAATCTTCTTCTTCTCTTCTTTCCTTTCTTCAATACACAATTTTTGCCATTTTTCTTGTTACTCTTCAATTTTGTATTCTCGGTCGGTGTTCTTTTTTTACACAGCAGGAAGCCCCCCATCCCTTTCACCCTTTGATTGCTCTCTTCCCTTTTACGTGTTCTCCATTCCTTTTGGCGGCTGATGGCAATTCTTCTCTTCTTTTCTCCTTTTTTGGGCATATTTGAAGAGTAAAATGTTGAAGAGACTCGAGGCCTTCTTTTGGCGAGATTGCTATTCAAACCTTTTCTTGCCCCTCCTCTGCCCCTCTTAGGCCATCAAGTCTTTCAATGTATTTTCTCGACCGCCCTCTGGTCCGCCGGCCATGTCCGCCGACCTCAACTAAAAAGTGGTTGGCCCTCTTTCGTCATTGCCCGCCCATTAGGGTATTTAACTGGTCCAAGTGAACAAAATAACTATCAGAAGGCTTTTAAAATATTTTTAAAAAATTATTTACGTTGCACAAAATTTGTGAAAAAAGATGCGTTTTGATATATTTTTGTTGGTTGCCTTCTCTTTGGGAGTTGCCGTTAATTGTGGAGGTAATTTGCTTGTATTACTTCTTGTAAAGCTTTGATTCCTTAATTGTTGTTATTCTAGTCGTGAAGAGGAATCAGAACTCCTATGGAGATGAGGCAGGAGCTGGAGGAGCCGCTGGAGCAGCACCGGCAGCACCAGCAGAATCAGCCGCCCCTTCAGGAGGAGAAGCAGCTGCCCCTGCACCTGAGGCCGCCCCTGCACCTGCACCAGCTGAAGCTGCACCTGCAGCAGCCCCTGCCCCAGAACAAACAGCCCCAGCTGTAGCACAACCTGCCCCTGCTGCAGCTGCATCTCAAGCTAGTGGATACAGGAAAAAACGCTCTCAAAACTCGTAAGTTTTTAAGAAATAAAATATCTGAGTTCAATTCGTTTTTTATCTAGCTATGGAGATGAAGCAGGACATGCAGCTGGAGCAGCACCAGCAGAGGCAGCTCCAGCACCGGCAGAATCAGCCGCCCCATCAGGAGGTGAAGCAGCACCTGCTGCTGCCCCTGCACCTGAAGCTGCCCCAGCACCTGCAGCTGCCCCAGCCCCAGAGCAAGCAGCACCAGCTGTTGCTCAACCTGCCCCTGCCGCTGCTGCATCACAAGCCAGCGGATACCGCAAGAAGCGTTCACAGAACTCGTAAGCTTCAAGAAATTGTGTTTTGATTATATATTTATTTTTGAAGATACGGAGATGAGGCTGGAGCCGGAGGAGCCGCTGGAGCAGCACCAGCAGAATCAGCAGCGCCAGCAGGAGGTGAAGCAGCAGCCCCAACTGCCACTGGATGCACAGAAAATTGCGCCGCAGGCGGTGAAGCTACAGCCCCGGCCGCTGCTCCTGCACCTGAAGCCGCCCCAGCAGCTGCCCCTGCACCAGAACAAGCAGCACCTGCTGTTGCACAGCCAGCACCTGCTGCTGCACCATCACAAGCTAGCGGCTACAGGAAGAAGCGCTCTCAGAACTCGTGAGTTATAAAAGAAAAGGTTGAAAATAACTTAGTAATTTCTAGTTATGGAGATGAGGCAGGACACGCAGCTGGAGCAGCACCAGCAGAGTCTGCAGCTCCGTCTGGAGGAGAAGCAGCCGCCCCTTCCGGAGGTGAAGCCGCTGCCCCTGCCCCCGAAGCCGCCCCTGCACCTGCACCAGCTGAAGCCGCCCCAGCAGCACCTGCTCCAGAACAAGCAGCCCCAGCTGTCGCCCAACCTGCCCCAGCAGCTGCCCCCTCTCAAGCCAGCGGATATTAAATGTATTTTGAAAAACGGAAACAACATTCAACATCCAGGCGCGCATATTGCTAATAGCCATTATTGTGAAAGATATCACTGCCTTCCTTTCACCCCTCCTCATTTCTTCCCCCAAAATTTGTTTTCCTTTTCATTCTCCCTCCATCACTTTATTTTTTATTTTCTTCGAATTAGAGTAAAAAAAATTTTTATAAATTTGTTCCCCAATCATTTTTTTAATAATCGCCCTCGTTGGCGATTTTATAAATATATTTTTTTATTTTTTTTATTTGACTTGAACCAAATTGGATAAAAAATAAAAAATAGTTTTTTTTTAATTTTTATTGGAAAAATATTAAATAATTAAATGTCTAAAAAATAAATAATTAAATTAGAAACGTTCAAATATATTCAAAAATTAATTTAAAATAATTTTGTTAAATTAAAATAAGTTTTGGCACCAACCGGATTCGAACCCCTCCTCACTTCACTTTATTAGAGCAAGAAGAAAACCAACTTAACCACTACACTAATAAAAAAATAAAATAAGAATGACTGCACCGGAAATGTCTCTCTTTAATTTGTATAGTCAACATACACTCTCTCGTCTTTGTCTGACCGAAAATCCGGAAAATATGTACAGAAAAGACATGTTTATTTCTAACCGGATTTCTCCGGTTTTTTATGTTAGAGAAAAGATGAGAAAGAATATAATCTAGTTTTTATTTATTTACCGGCCAATACTAAAAAGATTAGCCGTTCTTTTAAAGAACTCTTGTTGTGGACAAAAGGAAAAGAAGAAAACAAACATTTATAAATTCATTGTTCTTTACAGTTTAGTGACAATTAATTATTTTTAAAGAAAGAATCGATTCTAAAATTTATATTTTGTAATTATTATGAATTTTGTCTGCAAAATTTTTGTAATTTTATTGTTGGTTATTGTAAAAAGTTAAGTTTTTTAATCAAAATTTCGTAAAATCTCTATCAAGTTTTGAGAAGGCCTCGATTATAGAACAAAAAGTATATGTTTAAGAGTCCCAAATCATAATAGAGCAGGCCATTCTACTAATCTACTTCAGAAAAAAGTAGGAATTCTGCTAACATAAAAAAATAAATTCCCGATTTTAGAAACCGAAAATAGAGACGCAGGATCCTTCAAAGCATAAATAAACATAAAAGTATCAAAAATAAGTCGATTTTGGCAAAAAATAATGGAAAAATTGTTTGACCCGATTTTATCAAACAGCCCGCAATAGCTAAGGGTATACCGAAACACAATTTTCCGGTTATACCGTAATTTGAATGATTAATTAATGCAAAAAAGCCCTCAAATTTATTTTTCAATTGTCACAAATTAATTTTTAATTAAAATATATAATTTAGAAAATGAGGCAAACGAATTCAAAACACCTTTAAATAACAAAATAAGCCACCCAGATTCATTTAATAATGCAAATAAAAAAGACGAACCTGCAATCTCTATTGGACCTTGTGTTAATAATCTTTGCCCTAAAGGCTTTGAATGTATTGAAAATACTTGTTTTAAATGTGAATGAATACATTTAAATTAAATTAAAATTTATTTTTAGCTTTGGAAATACCCAAAACTGACCATATTCTTTCGATTGGACCTTGTGTAAATGCAAAGTGCCCCGAAGGTTTTAGTTGTTATGAAAATGATAGGCAATGCTATGCTAATTAAATAAACGGAAAGGAAGGAATGAACAAGACAATGGTTATAATGTCAAAAATTCCGTTTGTCGTTATAACCTTAACTGTACAATAACTCTTCACATTATACATAGTTCATTTCTTGATCCTATTTTTAAGAATACTTTTTTCAGGTCTCAGATTTTTCGGAAATAAACTGTTCATTATATCCCCAAATTTTGTAACCTCACATCTATAATATTAAACCTTTTGAATATCCCATGGAAGCATGATATTACTATAAGGGAAAAAGGATAATTACTCCTCTTAAGGATAATTACTCCCTTAATTATTCCTCTTTCTTCTTTCCTCATTATTTTTTTAAAATTAAAATTTATTATATACATAAATACAAATATTGTATAAATTAATTTACAAATAAAAATATTAAATTTTCCTCTCATTTTTATGTTTTCCCCTCATTTTTGTTGAGTGGAAGCCAGTCAGTAACAGCCTCAAAAGGGTCAACATCATATTCATCATTCTGTTCTACTTTTAATTTTAAAGGTTTTTTAAGTCCTTTAAATTGCTTCCTTTCTTTATCTCTTAAAAATTAAATTCTAGGAAAATTATTTTTCAAATTAAAAACTTTATTATGGCAGCATTCCAATTTAATATTCCTTCTGCTGTCTCAAAAGGGTCTGTATTTGATACTTTTCTTCTTTCCATCTCTTCGTGAGTTATTGGTTTGATTTTCTATGTGAAATTAATTTTTTTAATTTTATTTTTTGTACATATTTTGTTTTGAGTTCTGACCCTTATGGTTCTGACCATTTTGTTCATTTTTACCCTTTTAGGCATTTTGTCCATTTTTACCCTTTTAGGCATTTCGCCCATTTTTACCCTTTTAGGCATTTTGTCCATTTTTGCCCTTTTGGGCATTTTGTCAAATTTTACTCTTTTAGGCATTTTGTCCATTTTTACCTTTTAGGTATTTTGTCTATTCTTACCCTTTTAGGCATTTTGTCCATTTTTACTCGTTTGGACATTTTGTCGTTTTAAGCGTTATATTTATACTTCAAAATTTATTTCTTCATCTCTACAAATTTTTCTCGACTACATTTTCACCATCCTCAAAAACTTTGAAGAGGATTGAATACAAACCTTCAGGCTATTTATTTTTGTCTAATGCCCCCTTATCGGAAGTGTAAAAAATACAAATAAAAGGGTTTACCTATTAATTGATAAAAAAGAAAATGTTCCACCTTTTTTTACTTTTATTACGCGCAAAATTATTTTTAATGTTTAATTTTTATTTTACGTGTAAAAGGGAAAACCTTTACAAAACTGGTTATAATTGGAAAAAAGTAAAAATTTGAAAAAGAAAATGCAAAAAGAACAAAAACGGGGAAGAGAAAAAATAATAATATTTTTGTGAAAATCCTCAGATTTTGGTTCACAACTACATACTATTTGGTGTTATTTTTACGCATCTACGGGTGTGTGAAAAATCATTTTTAAAAATTTAAATAAAAAGTAACCCGAAATCCGATCCGACTACTTCCTCAATCCTGCTCATTCTTGGTACTAGCTTTCGGTGGCGGGAGTGTCGGGTTTCGGATTTTGGCGGAGCCTTCGTGGTTCGGGTCGGAGTTTTTGCCTAAAAATTCGTCGGGGGTCGAGATGCTACCCTACGTTAAACTATTTTTCGTTAACGGTGAATTGTACTCGACGGTGAAATGTCTAAAAATGTTTTTTAAACTGTTCACACATCAATAAATTTTAAAATAAATTTTTGTTGAATTTAAAATAAATTTTTTATGCAAAAAATTTTTTAATTAAATTAAAATTAATTTTCTTTTTTTTCAAATTAAATTACGCCCAAAATTAATTAACATTTTAATTTTTGATCAACTTACATCAGATAAAAAAGTTGCAGGTCCCCGTTCATCTGTTCGGAAAAATTCCAAACTTGTAGTAGAAACTGTTTTGGAAAGGTCAAATTTAAATTAAAAAATTTTTTCTTGGTAATTTAATTGATTATCCCCCCTCCCTCCCTCCAAACATTTTTGCGAACTCGTCAATGTTAAAAGTGCATTTTTCTTTCAAGCACAATTACCGTAAATCCTCTAAATAAAGCATAGTCATTAATTGAAGTAAGTTCTAATATAAACACATCCTACGAGAGGATCGAAAAATACAAGCACTGTGCTTCAATTAGAGGATTTACGTTATAAATGAAAAGAATAAAGGAGCCTTTCAACACATATTCCTGGTGACCTTCTGTGATCCTTTTTCATTTTATAAGTCTGGGAACAGCCGAAAGTATTTTTTAAATAAAAATTGGAAAAAGAATTTTTGCTATTTTACATAGAGGCAAAATAAAATTTAAAAAATTTTGGAAGCAGATAAAGGAGAACAATGGAAAATCAAATGACTGCTCCTTTTATTTTTAAAATAAAAATTTAAATAAATCAAAGGGGAGAATTATAACGGCAATTTATTTGTTAAACTTCTCGAAAAATATTTATTAAATTATTTATCCCACACAAATTACCTGAACGTGCTTGTGCCAAATAAAACAAATAAATTATTGAAATTAAATAAATTAAAACTTTATTTATTTTAATCATTTTTTAATAGAGAAAAAGCTTTTTCTTCTTTTACAAAAATGAAAATGTTAAAGCAAAAATGGCCTTTGAAAAGCACAACAGGTTCCAGTAATTTAAAGGCGGGAGGACGTGGAACAGAAAAACAAAACAAAATTAAAAAATAAAATTTTTACCTTGAAAATTATTTTTGTAAACAATTATTTTGGACAGTCACACAAAAAGAAATTAGTTTTTATTTTCAAAAAACTAATCAACTCTTTATTATTAAAAATAGTATACAAATATAGCCGAATATATCCTTTGCTTATTTTTATAAGGCGTGGAACAAGGGGATATATCACGGGTTTAGAAAAAATCGGATAGGATTTTGGATCAAAATAACCCGTCTCATCCCTTGATGCGGAAGAGTAATTGACTAAAATGTCGTAATAACGAGAATGTTTTATATAAAAAGTAACGGTATATCGAGACAATCTAAACATAAAAAGTTTTTTCTCAAAAAACTAATCGAACTCATTATTAGGGGTGCCAATTATATGGAAATCCATATTTTTTTCCTGAATTCCTATGACTGTGAAATGCACGAAAAACATGTTTTTGGCATGTTTTAGGGTTTCTAGAATGGTCTTTAAAATTCATATTTTCCATATTTTTCCATATTTTGGCATTATGCCCATATTTTCCATATTTGTCCATATTTAGCCTTTATATCCATATTTTATATCAATATTTCTACTTTTTTGAATATTTTGGTCCATATTTGGTCAATTTTTGGTAAATTTTAGTAAAAATTGGCGAAAATTTTAAAAATTTTGGAAATTTTTGGTCAAAAAATATTTTCGAAAATTTTTCGGAAAAATTTATTTTCAAAAAAATTTCAACTCAAATTTTAAATCCATTAAATTATCTAGAATGCTCTTAAAATGCAAAGTTATAGGCAAAATTTTCTACTTAAAATACTGATTTTTAAAATATCTTTTCACTATTTTTTGATCCATATTTCAGTATTTTATATCCATATTTAGTGTTTATTTCCATATTTATATCCATATTTTAGGATTTTATATCCATATTTTATGGCCATATTTTTCGATTTTATATCCATATAATTGGCACCCCTACTCATTATTAGAAATATACGAAAAAACAATAAAAAATATATATAATAAACTCCCCGCTATAACGACACCTTCATTATAGCCGAATATTTTTGTTGCGTTTTGATAGGGCGTAGAATAAGAGGATCTATCACGGGTTTAAAAAAATCGGGTCGGATTTTTGAACGAAAAAGGTCCGGGTTTCGGGTAACACGTCCCATCCCCGATGAGGAAGAAAGCCAAGTAAATTGACTAAAATGACGTAATAACGAGAATGCTTTATATAAAAATTGATGGTATATCGAGATAATTTAGACATTCAAGAAGGGTTTTTTATAATAAAATATAAGAATCATCAAAATATACGAAAAAAGAATCAATTAAATTCGTAACATTTTTAAGTTCAATGTCAAAAGTGAATAGAACGAGTGTAGTCATACTCAACAGTTGGAATTACAGCCTAAAATTAAAAATTTTTTTTAATTTTTCTGTTTAGAATAAAGGAAAATGGATTTTCGAACTCTTGTTGTTTACTTTATTTTATTTAATTTTGGTAACCAAAAATCTATGAATTTGCGAGGGACGTCCACTTGTGGATTCTCTAATAATTTTTATTTTTAGTTCAACTGATCCCGTTCAGCCTCAGATAGCCAGCCAGAAAAAAACATTTTTTGGGTATTATCCAAGAAACCCCTTATCTACATCCACCAAAAAATCACTCAAAATAAAAATGTTTTAAAAAATTCTTCTCTAAACTAACCTGTACAAATTTCAGAAAAACAAACAAATAATCGATAACAAGCAATTCTTTCCCACTTTCTTGAAATTGTTCAATTAAACGTTTCATAACAGGTGCGTGTCTGCATGGATGGATAGTTGCTAAAGTTAAACCAGAAATGTGTGGATGTGATTCTAAAGTTATTGTTTTGTCTGCATGCTCCTTAAAAAATTTAAGAAAATAATTTTAAATTAGAAAAGAAAATTTAAGAAAATTAAAAGGAATATTTTGAAAGATTTTACACATGTTTGAGGGGGCATGTACTCCAACGCTTGGCTATAACTTTGTTCAGGATTTTCGATTCATAAACAAGTTATGGTTCAATACATTTCAATGAAATGAGCTTTGAGTGTTGATTTAAAATCTTCGCGACAAATTGAGGTGTAACCTCGTTAGGAGATTATGTTCTAAAACCTTCTACCAAGGGGCCCTTTTAGCCTGTAGATGTTATAATTTCGGAAATTTTTGATTTATCGTATAAAAAATAATCGATAATCCGTTGCCTATTTTTGGTTCCAGGTCAATTTTCGAAAGTTATAGGTCACAGGTTCTAAAAATTTTCGTCCGCGCTGCTAAAAATCAATCATTCCCGGCGCCGAGAACAATCCTCCCTCATGCTCCTCTCCCGAAAAATCCTAATTACGGGCCTGCTAAACGATCAAAATTTTGTGCTCTTTGGAGTGGTTATTTTTTGATTTAAAGATTTTAATTTTGCCCCTAAGATTTAATTCCAAACCTGAGAAAAATCTTCTTTCATTTTATCCACGGCCAAAGGAGAGCCATTTTCATCATACCCAACTAACCAAAATCTTGGAACCTAAAAAGAATTTCTAAAATAATTAAAGAAAAACAAACCTGGTAATATTTATCATAAGTTATATGTAAATCATATCTTCTAGTTCTCAATAAATTATTTGAAGATGAATCGTCATTTGTTTCTTTAGTTGATTTATTTTGTAAAACAAATCTAAAAATTTTTTTTAAGTATTTCTAAATGTTGAAAATTTAAAATTTTAATAGATTCTTTACTGATCCTTAAGGACAAGGCTACATTGGAATATAAGGGTTTCAATTTGAAACTTTCAAGCAGTATTTTTTGATTTTCTGGTAATAATGAAAAATTGTGGAGACACCTAGAAAATTATTTTTTCTGAAAATAATTTTGGATGGGTAATCGATAATTTTTAAGATGTCTCCCCAATTCTTCACTACTACCAGTATTCTTATTGTTAGCTCAATAAATCATTTCTTAACTAATAACCAAAAATAAAATTCAAAAATTTCAAGAAAACCAAATAAAAAGTTCTCAAAAACAAATCCCTTCAATCTCTAATAAATTGCAGAAAAATCGGAAAATTAATTTTATGAGCTATTTTAGGCCAATAATGTTTTGCAAATAAAAAGAAAAGTCATTTCTATTTTTTTACCGAGTAATAAGAGAATTTCGAACTTTTTAGTTTCATTTAAAATTGGAAAATATATGGGTCCGGGTCGGGCAACAAACCATCCTCACAAAATAAAATGTAATCCTTTGTTTAATTATTAAATTATTAAAAAAACCTTGCAGGGTCTTCTTCTTCTAATAATCCACTAGATAAATATTCGTCCAAATCAATAGGTTCCCCTCCTTCTTCACAATTTTCTTCTTCATTTAAATTGTTTCCTTCTAGATTTTCAGAAATTTCATTATTTTCTGCATCCTCTAAATCTTTTGGCGCACAATTTGTTTCAAAATCAAAGTGATGAGTATCCACCCATTCATCTTGGTCATCTCCAGTTTCTGCAGATTCTTCTTTGATTATCTAAAGAAAAAATGAGTAAAATTATTAAAGTAAAAATCACGAATTATAAAACATTCTTTCCAAAATTTTGCGGACAAATTTTTGCGGACAAAAATTTTTTCAGTTAAATTAGTGGTAATTTAACCGGGACAAAAATGGCTTCTTATACATTTAAAAAATTAATTATATTCCCTCCTTCTATTCTCTTTTAACGTTTTAGACTCGTCAGAACACATAATTCGAGCTCAAAATTAAAGACTTAACTCATTTCACCGACAAGTTCATTGCTCTTTAAGCTTAGGTTAGTTTTTTCAGGATAAGAGGTCTGGAACTGAAATCTGCCTGGATTTGGAAGCCCTTAATTTCCTAAGTTAAAGAATCTGAACACTGCCTGCAATGGAATCAAGTTATTCCAAATAAAGGCAAAATTCAATTCCAGACTTTTAATCCAGAAAAAACCAAAATCTCTAATCGAAAAATTAGAGATTGGTAACGTTAAAATTAAAGAAAAACCTTTTCTTTAGACTCATCATAACCCATAATTTGAGCACATCTTTGATGACAAGGCACTTGTTTGGTAATTAAAAATTGTTTGTCGACAGGTAAATAAGCACAAGTCCTTAAAATTATTTTTAAATAATTTCCAAAAAAATGCAAAAATACCCATTAGAATCACTAGCTTTTGCCCAAGACCAAGTCGGACATAAATGAACTAAATGGTCGCCAGCTTTCAAAAATTAAATTAAAAATTAGTTTAAAATAAATAAATTTCCAAACCAGCAACAAATTCTTCGGGTGTAAGAACTCCAGTCTCTTTAAATTTAGATTCTTTAAGTACGGGAGTTAAATATTGACCAACAGCTAATGCAGCACTTTTAAATTGATTAACTAAATCGTTCATTTAAATAATTTGTGACTGAATTACACAAAAAAATTTACTTTTTGAGGAGAAAATAGACTAATAATCGGCACTGAAACTACCGCAATTTTGGTGTAGGGGACGATTCAGTATCGCGATAACCGCAGATTCAGTATCGGCCGATTAGTATTTCCGCTTTTTGGCCATAACTTTTTGTTTGATCAATATTATTGAAATTTTTATTTGTGATTTGATAGGTCTCGCTGTCCTTGATCTTTTTCATAATTAGGCTGACCTGATCAGATCATTCTGCAAAAAGTTATCAGTGATAAACGATGTCACATTGAGAAAAAAATCAGTTTTCAGACTGTTTTTAATATTAGGGTATTGTTACAAATATGTTGATAATAACCTAAATAATCTGACAATTTAAAGTATTTCACCCCTTTTTGGGTCAAAAGCATTAAAAAGAAAAGGCTACAGGAATAGAGGAAGTGTTAATAGTTGAAAAATTATTGAATCCAAGTATACTCAAAATACTCACGATTTTTCAGCAGCTTTAAAGTTAATCTACCCATTAATTCCTTTCCTTTAATTTTATTTAACTCGAAAGATCTACTAGAAAAATATTTTCAAAGTGTATTTAGATATTGGAGGTACTTTAAATGAAAAATTATATTGTGTCAGTGAAGGTTCTGCTTTATATTTCTTTTTATTTTCGATAAAGTTCTTTAAACCTTTAAAATTTTTGGATTCATTAACAATATTGGAAATTTTTTTGTACCAAAAATATCGAAATATTTCTGAAGGAGATATTAGATTACGGCAGGGCTCTCATTCGTACTTTATTTGAGAGTACAGTACTCTAAAATCGACCTCCGTACTCTCGAAATTGAATTTGTACTTTATTCAAAGTATGTACGGTACTTTATGGATATGTCACCCCCCTCCTATTTTGAGTCTCAGAGTTTTCCTTAAACGTAGAAAATGGTCAGAGATTATTTTCTTCTCCATGTCAATCATTTTTCTTTCTTCAAGCAAAATAAGTGAAATGTGGTAAATGTAGAAACGAAATGAGTGAAATGTAAGTACAAAATATGTGAAAAGGCAAAATAAACAAGCAAAATACTTGAAGAAGGAAAAAAATGATTGACATGGAGAAGAAATAATCTCTGACCATTTTCTACGTTTAAGGAAAACTCTGAGACTCAAAATAGGAGGGGGGTGACATATCCATAAAGTACCGTATGTACTCTAAAATCAACATTCTGGATTGAAAATGAAATTAGGGAAGGATTGGGCAAAAAAGTGAATTTTTTTGGCCTACGGCCTTAGAAATTCTCAAAATTTTCGCCTGCGGCGCTGAAAAAGGAAGAAATTTGGCTTCTTGGGTGCCAAATTTAAAAAATTTTCGTCTGCGGCGCTAAAAATGGAAAAAATCTGTCTTAAGAACCCCGAAATTTCCTAAAATTTTCGCCTGCGGCGTTGAAAATCGACGTAAGAAAGTAGCTTGCTTGAGGTTAAGACTGTCAGGGCTTTACTTCTTGTGACAGCGAATTTTGACATGTCGTGTATGAAATGCACAAAATGCTCAGTGGAAACAAGAGATTATTAGAAAAATTCATTTAGGAGAGAAATATAAAAGATTTGAGGGCGAATAAATATTTTGTAATTTAATTTTGAGTGTCCTTTAAATTTGGAAATTTTGTCCCTATGTACTCTAAAATCGAGATTTTTGTACTCTTGATTGATATTTTGTCGATGAGAGCCCTGGATTACGGCCTTTTGAATAACGTTTGACCAAAAGAGAGGCTATGTAGCAGGGATGGGCGAAATCAAAAAATAAAAAGCGAAATGCGAAACTTTTTTTAAAAAAATAAAATGCGAAATGCGGAATGCGAAACTTTTCGCGCCAAAAAATGCGAAAAATGCGAAAGATGCGAAATGCGAAAATGCGAAATTATTTAAAATTCAAAAAATTTTATTCATATTCAAAATTATAAATTACGAGATTATGATGCAAAAATAAAAGCATTTCTGCATTTTCTTGAATAAGACGTTTCCTCAGATTGTTTATTATTAATCCTGCACTACTAAACAACCTTTCTGCTTCAGCTGATGTACAAGGTGCTGATAGAAAGCGCGTTGCAATTTTGGATAAAATTGGCCATTTAACTGTATTGTCACCAGTCCAAAATCCATAAGGATCACATTCAATCGGAATCTTTTTTGCACGCAAATATTCTGTCACCTCAACCTTAAATATTGATTTAAAACAATAAGCAGTTTAAAGAAACCTCCGCTTTTTGGCGTGCGTTTAATGATTTTTTGCTAGGAAGTTCAAGTGCAAGTGGTTTAATATCATTTTGTTTTGAAATGGTTTTTTCACAGCGCTCAAAAAGTGAAAAAAATTCATTAGTTTTTTGTGTTGTAGATTGATCTTGTTCATTTTCAATCTCATTTTCGATTAAATCCTATAAGAATAAAATATGTAAATGATTTTTATAAAGTTTTACATCAGTTTGTTGCTGGTTTTCGGCCTCAGAAATTAACCAATTCTTGTAAAGTTCATGAAAATCAGCATCAAGAAAAGAAAGTTTAAATCTTGGATCCAAAATACACGAAAGTGGATGACTGCCACGTAAATGTGAGATTAAAAATGTTGTTGGCGCACGTGGCGGGTAGTTTTTTGAAAAACTACAACTTTTGCAGAACGCTACTCTTCCAGAAAGTGAGAAATACTTCCATATTAAAGACATTATAATTTTAAAAAATTTCTTAAAAATAAAAAAATACTTTAAGAAAAAGCGAAACAAATTTCGCATTTGGACCAAAAATCCCTGCTATGCCCCCCTGCTATGTAGGAGGTGGCAAGTTGTAATCAATTAGTCCGGTAAACTAAAAATGCTGGTTCGCTCTCAGCAGTGAATTACAATTTTTATTTTAGAGAAATATAATAAGCTCAGTTCAGCTTTTACAACACACTTCACAACACAAAGTTTACAACACAACAATGAAATAGTATATCACTATGCGATATCACAGCAGAATATACCGTATTTGCTCTAATTGAATGACAGTCATTCTATTTTTCAATACCCCAAAAATTTGTCATTCAATTAGAGAGGTCATTCAAATAGAGCGGGTCATTCTATTTTCCAATAATCAATTATTTCAAATTTGATCAAAAACTTGTAAATTTTTAAGTAAATTTATTGAAATTCTTCCATTACGAATTACTAATGTATCCATTCTCAAATAGAATTGCCGTTTTCGAGTCCGACGTTCGAGTCATATTTTCGGGCCTCATTTTTATCAGGCCGGCCCGACCGAGTCTTTTTCGGGTCAAAATTCGATGCCCGACTCGATATTTCGGACCGGACCGGGCCGGCAACCCTATTCTCAAACGATAAATCTCCTAAAACTCGTCATAAACACGACTAGTATATTCACAATTTGACGAAATATCTCCAGACACAAGTCTATTTCGAACATAAAAGATAAAATTAACCTAAGTAAAAATTAAAATTTTAAATAAAATACCTAATAATTATCAAAACATAGTAATTTCGGTACCATTCTACTCAGCTTGAAGAGCTGAGTAAGGTCCAAGGTTTGCACACTGGTCCAAGGTTTGCACACTGCCAGACCGCTGACGACGCAAACTGCAACCAAATATAATCAGAAAATGCTGAAAATAAGATGATTTAAAACTGAAAGATGGTGAATTTTGCTGAAATTATATTAAAATAAGATTTAATAAGAGAAAAGAAGTTGAATATGGTATTCAGAAATCAGAAAATGCTGAAAATAAGATGATTTAAAACTGAAAGATGATGAATTTTGCTGAAATTATATTAAAATAAGAGTTAATAAGAGAAAAGAAGTTGAATATGGTATTCAGAAATCAGAAAATGCTGAAAATAAGATGATTTAAAACTGAAAGATGATGAATTTTGTTGAAATTATATTAAAATAAGAGTTAATAAGAGAAAAGAAGTTGAATATGGTATTCAGAAATCAGAAAATGCTGAAAATAAGATGATTTAAAACTGAAAGATGGTGAATTTTGTTGAAATTATATTAAAATAAGAGTTAATAAGAGAAAAGAAGTTGAATATGGTATTCAGAAATCAGAAAATGCTGAAAATAAGATGATTTAAAACTGAAAGATGGTGAATTTTGTTGAAATTATATTAAAATAAGAGTTAATAAGAGAAAAGAAGTTGAATATGGTATTCAGAAATCAGAAAATGCTGAAAATAAGATGATTTAAAACTGAAAGATGGTGAATTTTGCTGAAATTATATTAAAATAAGAGTTAATAAGAGAAAAGAAGTTGAATATGGTATTCAGAAATCAGAAAATGCTGAAAATAAGATGATTTAAAACTGAAAGATGATGAATTTTGTTGAAATTATATTAAAATAAGAGTTAATAAGAGAAAAGAAGTTGAATATGGTATTCAGAAATCAGAAAATGCTGAAAATAAGATGATTTAAAACTGAAAGATGGTGAATTTTGCTGAAATTATATTAAAATAAGAGTTAATAAGAGAAAAGAAGTTGAATATGGTATTCAGAAATCAGAAAATGCTGAAAATAAGATGATTTAAAACAAAGATGGTGAATTTTGTTGAAATTATATTAAAATAAGAGTTAATAAGAGAAAAGAAGTTGAATATGGTATTCAGAAATCAGAAAATGCTGAAAATAAGATGATTTAAAACTGAAAGATGGTGAATTTTGCTGAAATTATATTAAAATAAGAGTTAATAAGAGAAAAGAAGTTGAATATGGTATTCAGAAATCAGAAAATGCTGAAAATAAGATGATTTAAAACAAAGATGGTGAATTTTGTTGAAATTATATTAAAATAAGAGTTAATAAGAGAAAAGAAGTTAAATATGGTATTCAGAAATCAGAAAATGCTGAAAATAAGATGATTTAAAACTGAAAGATGGTGAATTTTGCTGAAATTATATTAAAATAAGAGTTAATAAGAGAAAAGAAGTTGAATATGGTATTCAGAAATCAGAAAAT